AAATCCAACTCTAGCATGCATCCCTCATTAGAGTGGGACGCCGCCTTGCAATGTAGCCCAGCGCCCATGCAGCTGCTTCCTTTAATGGAGTGGGGTGTTGGGGGTTTAGGGTGTAAGGCTTGGCTGTTTAGGGTTAGGTTTTAGGGATTAGGGAGTTTGTAGGAGCCCCACCTCCATCCTAACCAGTGCGCAGGTTTGGGAAAGCCGGAGCAGGGTTTAGGGTTTAGGGTTTACCAGGTAATATCCTGTAGTAATGCCTTGCAAGTAATACAAACGATAACGCTAGCATCCAAAAACATCCGGCTAGTTGATCCCGATACATCCTCACAGAGCCCTATGGCTCTGCTATGTAGAGGCCCAGACTAGAACAAGGTGGTCAGATCTACTATACTGTAGCTGGGAAGGGCTACACGGGAATAATGTTGGCAAATACTCATCCTTCTACATTACCTTTGGCTTCTTGAATTTCTGCGGATGCGACAGAGTCTGGAGGCAGGCTGTGAAGCCACGGAATTCAGGGTTTAGGGTGTGGGGTTTAGGGTTTAGGGTTCAGGGTTAGTACTTGGAACTAACCAGCCTTTACGAGGAAGTACTCCCAAATGTGATGCAATCACACACACTCGTGTGAGCTACTGTCTAAACTCCTAGTATCCCCCTCAATCACCCCTATATTATGCCCTATGTAACCCCTTTAAGGAGTTTAGACCCTAAACCCTAAACCCTATATAACCCTATAGAACCCTATATAATTCCCCATATAACTCCCTATATAATCCCTTTAAGGAGTTTAGACTATAGCTCACAGGTGCTAGCCCCAAAAGCACCTATCCGGGATTACCAGTAAAAGGCCTGGGTCCCCTTTCAGAACAATGGGTTTGGGCTTTAGGGTTTAGGGTTTAGGGTTTAGGGATCGAAATGACAAGCTACCCATGCAGAGATAAGTACCAGTAGGTTAATATTCTCTAATGGTAACCTTAGTTCTCCCCTTTCTCAACCTACCCCTTCATAGTCTCCCCAAGTGGACACGAAATACATACACTGTCATACACTCATGAGTATTCCCCAGGAAGCTTGTTTCACTCACGCAAACCTCCAACTAAATCCTAGCTTACATGACAGTTCCCGCTCAAAGGGGGGACCCCAATACAGACCCAAAAAACTAACTATAACCCTCATTACTTTTACCCAAAAAACGAACCCCTGATTTTTGGAAACCCCTGAAACGGGCTTACCGTTTAGGGCTTCGGGAGTAAAGGCCGGGCCTTGACGGAGGGGTCAAACTCTTCCAAGCAGTTCACCAGGGCCTCAAGCGCGCCAGAATCGACGACGGCCTGGCTAAAACAGTTGGCCTAAAGAATTCTACCTGGTCCTAGGGTTTAGGTTTAAGGCTTAGAGTGTAGGATTTAGAGCTTATATAGGCTTTGGGGCTTTGGGTCTAAGGCTTACAGTTCAGGGCTTAGGGTAGTACGTTCCTCAAAGGAGTCACTCTCAACATGTCCGGGACTTCTGCTGGCACCAAGATGTAGCATGATGAATCACTAGCATTACTGCGACCAGTGCTTCTACCCACTACGTCACTATGGCTGAGTGGTGCAAGAAAGGCTTGGGGGCTCACTGTGGCTTATCAGAAGGGCGAAAGCAACAGATGTTGGGAGGTGTGTAACTAGCGGTTACCGCATTGGACACATTGTCCATCCTATCCCCAGGCAAACTCGCCGCGCGTCTACACAAATATTGCAAGACACACGTAGAACTTCGAATACTTACTGTGACGCACGGATCCCACAAAAAGGACCGCAATTTTGAGAAGTCCCCATTATGCCCATTCTGGAGCTGCTACTAACGGCACAATTGCACATCTCCGCAGCCCTAAACTGCCCTGCCTGCGCCAGCTGTGGGGAGTGCTTCGACACAGCACGCAGCACGAACGCAGCAGCCTGGCTGAAATCATATGGGGTATATGGGATCTTATTATAATATACCCAAAGCCATATTCTGTCTACTTAAGGGGGACTTTTAGGGCCTGGGAAGACTACGGTTCCCTTCTCAGAGGGGGTTTTACATGAAGTTCCACATTGGTTTGGGGAGGGGTGGTAGTTGCCCTAAATAGATAGGGGGACCGTAATATAGACCCCCAAATACTTTAATCCTTGTTCAGGGACCCAAAAGGGTATACCTAATTTTGGGAAACCCCCGGGTAAGATGTTCGAAGCACCCCCTTTTTCCCCAAAGTGGCCGGGTGAAATCGAACTATCTTGCTAGGCCCGTGCAAACAACATGTCCAAAACTATTTACTTCGAGCATCCCCATCCTAAAGCTCTTATTGGACAAGAAATGTAATGTTTCCTGGAGGATTGGGGAAACTTTGCGGTTGGGCACTGCAGGGATACTTGGTGGCAGGAATATTTGGTGATTGGGCACTGCAAGAATACTCTGCGGTTGGGCACTGCAGGGATACTCTGCGGGCTGGGCACTGCTGTGGTTGGGCACTGCAGGAATACGTGGCCATTGAGCACTGCAGTCAGGCTCCTGGCGGAGGGCGAGGACAACATAATCTTTAAAGTCTAACGCAGAGAGGGGCATGATAATATTTATGTAAAACCTGTTCTCACACATGCGGTCGTATCTGCCAGAACGATTTAGAGGATCCTTCTGTTGAAGACACAAATCAAGCTGACTTTTCAGGGAAGCCAACCTACTTAAATAGGTCAATGAGGGGGTTAATTGGGGTTACTATATCACTATACGGGTCAGAGGGCTCATTAACCTACTTACATAATCCCAAGACCCTCCAAATACACCCTAAACACGAAACTGTAGTGGTAATATTCCTAACTGAACAGGTACGGCACCTTCCGGTCTATCGCTTGGAACATAAACCTAATATTACCCCTAATATAACCCTAATATAAACCCAATATAACCCATATATACCCCCAATATAACCCTAATAGAACCCCAATAACACCCTAATCTAACCCCAATATAACCCTAATGTAACCCCAATATAAAGGATCGGAAGATCCGGTGGAACCTTCTTGTAAAAGCGGTTCTGCTGGGCCAGGGAATACCTTGGCAAGTGGAGGATTCCAAAAATTAGGGGTACCCTTTGGGGTTACGTAGGGTTTAGGGTTTAGGATTTGGTTTAGGGTTATACAGGGGTTAAGGGCTAATGGAAGAATAGGGTTCAGGGTTTAGGGCCTCCAAAAATTAGGCATTTGCTATAGATGATCTCAGTGTGTAATCATCAAGGCGTCCTTAACAATTCTACCCAGACCAGTGCAAGTGTTTCAGGATTCAGGGCTGAGTATCTAGGGCTTCGGATTGACCATTCAAAGGTCGATGGTCTCCGCTATAGGGTTTTGGAGAACGCGCTGCAACTGTGACGTTTCTGTCCTATTGAAAGAGAATGTTTGTGACTCCCAAACTCAAGTATCTGCTACCTGGGAAAACCGATGGCTGAGCCCACGTGAGTCTCGTCAACCACACATCATGCACATCCGATAAAATATGACAAAAGACTTGACCATGACAGCAGCTAGGGATGACCAATGACTGCTTTGCTGCACAGAAGGCACGAACCTGAGGAAGCCTGAAATCTGGGGCCAAGACCATGCCCCACTGCCTCAAACCTACCCCCCAGACATACTAAACTTTGTCAACCACAAAGCCCAAAACCCCAAACTCAAAACCTGATACAATAACCTCGGCGAGCTACACTAGCTGCGGCAGGATCTCGTGAGTGACTACCGACTCAGCCAGCTCGTCACTGGCGAGTAGCGGGAAGCTTTGACGAAGAAAACTCTCAAGAAAAGGCTACCCTTGGAGACAGTTTAACGTTCAAGGCTCGGGCTCAGCAGTTGGGATGTAGATTTCTCGAAACAGCAGTACTTGCACAATGGCTTGGTGTTTGGGGCGTTCAACACACAGTACCGTTACAACTCTGTGACGTTGGAGTGCAGCCTTCAAACAATGGCTGCATGTCGGCTCTTCATCAAATAACAATAATAACGATGATGATAGTAACAATGATAATAATAATTATTATTATAATAATAATAACATAATGGTAACATTATACTAATAATATACTAATATTAAGAATACACAAGAAATAATGGTCATACAATGCTAATAATCGTAATATACTAATAACTAACAATAATAATGATAACAATCCACAAGATCGGTTGACAAGTCTTCACTGTTTCAGCCAGCTGTCCAGACAGTCAGTCTTCAGCAAAGCAAACAATTACTTGGAGGGTAGGGTTTAGGGTCTAGGATTTAGGGTTTAGGATTTGGGGTTTAGGGTTTAGGGTCAGAAATCCCTAGAACCAATATAGTAACCCGAGTTATCCCCAGTATTCGCCTACTTACAAGTCCCCTGACCCTCTACCCAAAAACCTTAACCCCAATCTACCCTAAACCCTGAACCCCAAACCCTAAGCCCCAAACCCTAAACCCTAAACCCTAGACCCTCTACGTAAGCTGCCCCATTTGAGCCTGTAGTTCGCCAGGCGTCCCAAGGCTAGGGCTGCAGACTGCCTTGGAACATTCCACAGTAGACGGGCTTAGGGTTTAGGGATGAGGGTTTATGGTTTAGGGTTTGGGGTTTAGGGTTTAGGGTTTGGGGTTTAGGTTTTAGGAATTAAGAAATTAAGGAATTAAGGTTTAGGGTTTAAGGTTTGGGGGAGGCAGTCGAGGAGAGGGGGAGTCGGTTCTCATCCTTCGCATCAGCTACTGGAATCGTAACTGCAGTTCACTCTTAGATGTGAGCCCGGGTATAAACTTAAGTACACGAAAGAGTGCCTTCTACATGTACGTTCTCTCAAGTGGGCCCTTTTTGGGGGACAACTTCTTCGATGAATCCCTGCAACCACATCATCCTCCGAAGTAGGCCTGCATATTCCTAGCGACGCCCATCCCCACATCATCCTTTTAGCGAACGACCTTCTCACCGGATGACCAGGCTCTCCTCAATCCGCTTGCGACTGAGAGGCTGAATGGATGCCACGTTGTCCAAGAGCAGAGGTCGCAAAAGCGCCATAACTCCTCGGAGTCGGAGAGGAGAGGGAGGGATAGAGTCTAAAAGAAGAGTAATCTTTTTATCGAATAATCTTGTTCTGTATTGGGTACCTTAGTATCGCCAAATAAGATACGACTAATGTAGGAGCAAGCCCAGCAACCAAGGCCCTGGCCTGCATTCTGGAGCGCATCGATGTTCTGCGGCCGGGTCGCCTGCCACACCCGCACGCTGATGTAGGCTGTAGTCTAAACTCCTTGGGGAGTTTTGTAGGGGTTAAACAGGGGGATACTAGGAGTTTAGACTATAGCTCATGTAGGTATAACTCAGCGTCTGCATGGAAGACATATGCACAATGAACGATCTCGTTGATCCCATAGCAACAACAGCTCCAAGCGAGAAGGTGTTGCAAGGTCCGCCACAGTCTGGACGAAGGTGACACGGGCCTTCCAAGGACACCAGGGGGAAAGACCAGCAGGAAGACCCTAAACCCTAAACCCTAAATATACATATATATATATATACCTATATAGTAGCTTTCATTTCGTTTTCCATTTTCCCTATATAACCCCTATATAACCCCTATAATCCTAAACCTTAAACCCTTAACCTTAGGAAAATGAAAAACCCAGAGAAAATCTCTTCACAGCATGTCTTGGGTCCTTCTGGTATTCCTCAAAGACCTGCAGCACTGCTCGACCTGGGCTACAATGTAAGCCGCTTTCAACAAAAACACGATTGTTTAGGGTTTAGGGTTCAGGGTTTAGGGTTTAGGGTCGCCTACTTTGGGAACTGCATCAGCAAGTCCTATCTTTGCTGATGTTGTTGACTTGTTTTCCGCAGTGTTCTTATTCCGGTTGCTGTCATATAAAGTGACTCGTGGTGGCACAACCTCTTACTGTCACTGCTGCTACTAGTGCTACACTGCTACTGCTACTACTGCAACTGCTATACTACAGTTACATCGACAACTACAATACAATAATGCTACCACTAGCTACAGTAGTGGTTATGCTAATTATAACAATAGATGGAAGAGGAATTAGGAGGAAATGACCATTTTGCAATTCTCTTACTGGTTGTGAGTAGGAAATGAGGGAACACAATCCCTGTACAATCCCTATATGGGGTTTCCCAAGATTGGGGGTACCTTTTTCGTGGTCCCCATGATTAATAAGGACTATAGTATTTTGGGAAGGGTCCCCCTATTTCGGGAAACTACCATATAACATATTCCTATATTCCAAAACTGACAACAAGCAAGACTTGGCAAGTGCTCTACGCAGCTCGGGCAGCGGCTCATGGCTTCTACCCTGGATCCTCTGCAAACGAGAGGCGCGACAGGGACGGCACTTCTGAGAAAATGAGCTGCACAGGGCTGAAAGAATGGGGTCTGAAGATAGTTTTCCCCCTTCATGGAGCCCAAATTCCTGGAAATCTCAGGGAAACAGTGAGGACGAAAGAACCTCCCAAGATATCCCAAGCAAAGCACACTTGGTCAAGGCAAGCACATGCAATCAGACCAAGCCTAAGATTAGGGGTACGTTTTTGTTGCGTCAAGGATATATAAGGCTCTTTCCGGAGTAGGATTTAGGGTCTAGGATTTCCCAAATGAGGAATACATGTTATGGGGGTCCCCATAATGAGGACTATAGTATATTCGCTTCTATATTGAGGTGCTCTCATGCTGGGAAACTACCATCTTTTGTCAAGTTGAATTCCCGGCTTCAGCGCTGAGTCCACTTGACACGTATGGCCAGGAACTCAGCATCTAACGCACCTATGAGCGTGTGTGTGTGTGTGTGTGTGTGTGTGTTCACAACAGATAAAATGCCTGCTTTTTCAAACTTCAGGGTTCAAGTGGGCAATACTGAACATGCATACGCTGCCCGCTACTCTGATTGCAGCTTAATACAGGGACCACAACATGACCCCCCTCATTTTGGAAAAACCCAAAAAAATGCTATGTCTACTTACCATGCAGTCTGAAGCGCTGCTCAAGGCTCACTTCGGAGAGCAAGCTGGAATATAGTCCCCCTTAAGTAGATAGAACATGGGGTACATTATTGGGGTTATATCAGGATAATGGAAAAAGAAAACGGAAACTGTGATATGATTACAACAGGATATATATTGGGGTTATAGTCCCCCTTAAGTAGATGGAATATGGGGCATATGGGGATCTTATCATAATATGCCCAAAGCCATAGTCTATCTACTTAAGGGGGACTATAGGTTGAAGTCACACACTCTCATGTCTCAGCTCTGTACATCTCTACATGGCTTCCACAAGTTTCGTGCAGATGGCGCGTTGCAGTGATCGTAAATAACCCTAAACCCTAAACCCTAAACCCTAAACCCTAAACCCTAAACCAAAAAAAAAACTGTAAGTTGTCTGGCTGCTTTTGCTACGCCTCTGCGAGTACTTACATGACACTTACTCCTTACTTTGCGCGCAAGATGCAACAGGACAACTTCCTGGCGGTCTCTTGCATCAACCTCTGAAACTTGCGTCTTGCCAGCTTCATAGAGGGATCTTTCCCCTCATCTCTTGGGTGAAGCTGCGTAGAGTTTCTGCAGTTCAGTTAAGGGTCTGGGGAAATTCATACAATGAATGAAAGATATGAAAATGGGTGCCGTTATTGCTGCGCAAGATTGACAGGAACGAGAGCCAACACAATGTGACGCTTCAGAGATGATTTGTGAAAGCCTTCATAATAGCAATTATGGCCATGAGAATCAAGAAGAGAATTTGGTGCTTGGCTGCAGAGCCTCACGTGTTTGGCCACATCCAGCTCAGCAAAACCCTAAACCCTAAGCCTACAATTCCCCCAACCATAATCCCTAAACCCTCCAGGCATCAGTGATGCCAGTCACCTCCGGCATGCTCAGCGAAAAATGAGGGAACACGGTCCGCACTAGGGAATATAAATATATATATATATATGTATACACGTGTATATATATATATAAATAGGAATTTAGGATTTAGGGTTTGGGGTTGAGAACAAGGACATATTGTATACAGAGGCTATATAGGGATTATAATCCCTTATCTCCAACTAACCACCAGTAAGTACATGTTCTAGGGTGAAGCTTCTCAACACAACGCATGGTGAGACAGTCATTCCATGATGATTACTCCCAAGATATGCCTCTTGTCCATTTATCCATTGATTTTGGACTTCCGCCTAACACATGCCTGTCGCGCGTGGTAACCAGGGGACTACGCGCAATGAAAATCTAATGTTCATCTTCCCATTTGTGAAGGCTTCATCTACCCCCAACGTTACACCCTTAACCCCAACCCTTAAGCCACACTGCGCTGTAGACCCTCTTCGTGATCAAATGCACCTTCGGCCATCTGCCAGCTACTGCTGCTTCTCCTGGCATCCATGCAACTGGAACACAAAGGCCTGTTCATTTTCTGATATCGACCATCTCGGGACTACACGAGGGGGCGCATGCATATTCTGATGTCAGTTCAGCAATTGCGTTGTTTTGGGTTGCCACGCCCAGTAAGGGTCCCCAAAACCCAAAACCCAAAACACAAAAACCCTAAACCCTACAACCTTAAACCCTATAACCCTAAACCCAAAACCCTTGTCACGGAGGCTGTCGGGTCGCCACCCTGACCACAGTGTCGGGGTGAAATCCACGCTTGCCCATTACGGCAACGATGCTGAATAGAGGTAACACTGATAGCAATATGAGCTGTAGTCTAAACTCCTAGTATTCCCCTTTCTGAGCCCCACAATACTCCCCATATAATCTACTGTATGACCCCCCTTTCAGGCGTTTAGACTATAGCTCATGTAATCGTTAATGGCTTAGGGTTTCGGGTTTGGAGTAGCAATAACGATCGTATAAAGCCGACCTTTTTAACCAATGTCAAGCATCATAGAGATAATAGTAATGTTCTTGATATATCTGGTTTACTATTACTAGTAATAATAGTCGTAGCAGATTAACAATGGAGGATAGGAGTAATCCTACCAAATGCCCTAGTGACTCTAGCCAAAGGAATAATTGCAATAGTGCAGGTATAAAGCATGTGTGTACATCCCCGATCCCCCAAATCACATCCTAAGCAGGGCATCCAAATCTGGCACTCGCAAAAAGCAAAAGGCCCAGCCCCAGATTTCACCCTTTGTCAGCAGAAGGGCAGGATTCTTGGACATTCTGCATCAATACAGAGATGAAAAGCTCCTCTTGCGTCCACCCAGCGGCCAGGGGTATTCGTGCCTTGGAAAAACGTGGAGCAAGGGCACGCTTGCTTAGTCTGCGGTGGGCTTGCGGATTCAGAAAGGTCAAAAGCTGAAATGTGGGGTTGCGAAAGTCATCCCTTCTAATTATTGCTCTTTACACTCAAGCGAAGTATGCCTGGGACGTCTAGACTTCAAAAGCGGGACAGCTACTGAGGTTTGTCAGGAAGCTTGCTATGCCGACTGTCCCCAGTCAGGGCCCTAGGCGCCGTGAACACTTTAAACCGTACTCTTGCAGGATATGTTTTGTAACACCCCGTCCCGCTAAACACAACAGGACCTAAGAACCTTCTGGTACATACCAACAAACTTGCATCTAAAACCCGGGAAAGCGGGCCCATCCTTTTGCAGGCGACGCTTAAGTCGGCTGCAGAGGTGGCTTGAGTCAAACGCGTCGTTCACGAATGGGTACTGGCTAGGCCTCACTGAAAGACGCCAGCAGTCTGTTCATTGCCGGAGTTGGACTTGTTGAGGACGAAGGTCATTCCTCCTTTTTTGAAGTCCTCAAAGGTCAGCTCCCTGTTGATGTAGTCCTGGCATCCGGGCGTGCCGGCCAGGACCTGGCAGTCTGCAACCAAATACGTAGCACAAGCTCGTGGGCTAGCTCAACTCTAGAGGACTTAAACAGATAGCGCTGATAAGCTTCAGAAAACAACAAAGTGAAAAAGACCCGCCCTTGCGCTGAAGGTCCCGAACACAAGAATTGAAAATTTCGAGTCATGCCCACCTGTCGGTAGTAGCGACCAAGGGCCATCACCTGGAAGCTCGCCCAAATTACTGATCTCAAGGTAGGGGGAAGACTGATGTGATCTAGTAGGTGTCAAAAACAGAGACCTGTACTGCTTAAGTTGCAAGTTTTCCTGTTATTACCTGCTGTGGAAGAACCCAGAAAAATTAGACTTAATTCTACATTGAGCTATACGTGTCAGGAACCCTGAATATGCTCACCTAAACACTACCCAGAAAACACCCCAAACCCTCACGGCCATAAACCCTTAAACCCCTAAATCCTTTCACCCGAAACCCCTAGACCCTACACCCCATACCTCCTACCTGCACAAAACCCTAAACCCTAAACCCTAAGCCCTAAACCCTAAACCCTAAACCTTAAACCCTAAACTCTTGGAGCCTCACCTTCTTCTCATCCTTGGCGGTTGAGAGCCATAGGGCGATTTTGCTGACGCGGTTTCGCAAGGATACCACGGCACCGCACACCACCTGAAACTTGGTTTAGGGTTTAGGGTTAAGGGTTTAGGGTTTAGGGTTTAGGGTTTTTCCTGTTGGTATTTTATATATGGGAACCCAGAACCCAAAAAGGGTAAAAGGGTACCATTGGGGTTCCTAGGAAAGGAGGTTCTCGGGGAATGGTGGCTTCTACATCTGGTTCCTTGTTCGGACTTAGGGTTCAGGGTTTAAGGTTTAAGGTGATCAGTTTATCTTGCTTTGTGCTTTAATATATTACAACTAAACCCTTAACCCTAAACCCTAAATCTTCAACGATGACCAGGATTTGAACTCGGACTTGGTGTTTGAGATCCTGTTGATATACAAGGATTACGCGGCACAGCCTCCCGGGGGTGTTGAACATCAGGTCTCAATCTAGGGTTCTGACAAAAACTAGCTACCAAATATCTGGTCAGGTGTACCGGGCTCGGTGCTCAGGCTTCAGGATTCATGTCTGAAACAACAGTAATCGCTAGATATTTGGGCGTTTCCAGCAATCCGGGCTTCCAATAGTAAGACTTGTCGTGGTCGGGCGTACATGCGGGTGCCGCCTACCCTTGCAAACCTAATATCCCCCGTATCAAGCCCTATAGTAGCAGCCCCATATCATCTCCTGTATAACCCCTTTAAAGAGTTTAGCCTGTAGCTCATATTGAGAAAACTCCCCAAACCCTAAACCCTAAATCCTAATCCTAAATCCTAATCCTGAACCCTAGATTCTACTCCTAAACCAAAAACCACGTTGAGAAACTCCCGCCTCACCACCGTGGGGGAGGAAGGCCTCACCGATCAATGCGAGACTTACAGACAGCCAGAGGTCGTCCAGTGTTTGGGCCCTCACCTTGTCTAGCCTGGGTTGCTGTGGAGGAATTTGAATTAAGTTACTATACAAAGAAGGAAAGCCCAGTATTTACGATATACCCATGTTATGGTAACCTAAACACTAAAGCCCAAACTCCAAATCCTAAACCCTAGCCCTTTATGCCCACAGTATGGTAACTGACTTTAAATTCCCTACTCTAAACCCCTAAACCCTAAACCCCCCTAAACCCTAAACCCTAAACCCCTAAACCCTAACAGCAACCGGGAACCCTAACAGCAACCGGGTAGCTTCATGACCCACCGCCCTCCGTTCTTGAGGGCAGGGTCCTCCCAAGCTGGCGTGATGCCATCCTTAAAGAGGGAGAAATCCACGTGCTCCATCCTGGAGGGTTTTAGGTTAAAGGGTTGAGGGTTTAGGGTTGAGGGTTTAGGGTTCAGGGTTGAGGGATTAGGGTTGAGGGCTGAGGGTTTAGAGTTTAGGGTTTACGGTTGAGGGTTGAGGGTTGAGGGTAAAGGGTTTGGGGTTAAGGGAATATACCACGTAGGGATTTTAAGGGCATCTAGCAAATCATGGGGTTTCCTTGTTACCTAAACCCTAAACCCTAAACCCGAAACCCAGTCCTGGATGGAGGGTAGGAGTGGTGATACATGCACCAGTAGTCCTCCGCCGTGTTGAAGGAGTGAACCGTTCTCTGGCTCTCATTCCAAGCCTGGGTTGCTGTTAAGGAATTTAATTTAAGTTACCATATTGGTGAAACCTTAATTACTATATATATATATATATATCAGCACCCAGAAGCCTGTGTTCCCTGGTGCGCCTTCTCCCCCTGCTGATGTAACCAGAGGCACCATTTGTGCTGCAGCACATGCTTCGGGGGCTCCAAGGGTTGGCCGGGTTGGGCCACTTGGGGATCTTGCCCGGCTTCTGGGGCTTCCGGCTCCTTGGCCTCTTCCTCTACGCCAGTTGCCATGCTGGCCAAAGCTATGCCCTGAGCGCTCTGCTACGCTTGAGGCAAACGTCTCGTCTAGACGGCGATGTGGATTCCCCAGAATTCAACTGCAACGATTACATCACTTCAGGCACACTCATTTGTCTATCCTAGTGCAGGGTTTTAGGACATACTAATGATAAAGGGAAATTATCATAATAATCGGAATGATAGCGCGCATAGTAACAATGACAGTAAAATGATAACAATAATACGAATAACAATAGTAATAACAATAACAATAAAGGTTTTGACACTGCAGATTGCAGGTTGCATGAACTGGGCAGGTGTGAAGGGGCTCAACCCTATAGACCCAAAAGTATCATAATCTTTTTACTTATGGGGAGCCCCAAAGAGGTACCCCGTATTTGGGGAAACCCCAAATCTAAATTTGAGGGGTTCTAGTTTGTTCGAGCTTTAGGCCCGAATGCCCTGAAACCTGTTGACTTGGAACCCTAAACTCTAAGCCGTCCAGCACCAGCCAATCGGAAGCTCCAAACTTCCTGGGATCGCCTGGCCCTGGCTAAGCAGAAACCCGATTCCAAAATACGTACTGGTTGTGTTAGTAGGGAAGAGGGAGTACCATTAAGAAAGGTTAGGGTTTAGGGTTTGGGGTAGGGAATAACGGATTATAATCTTAAGGGATTATGTACAGTAGGGACTATTTTCGTGATTCCCTACTAATAACCCGTAAGAAAATGGTATCAAAAGGGCAGACACTCAAGCGAGCAGTCCATGTAGTCTGGAGAGGTGTCAGCATCGTGCCGGAACTGATTCGAGAGGGTCCATCAAAGGAAGGATGAGACACGCATCATTGAGGTGGACCCCCCACCCAGTAGAAGTGACTATAAGGGATAAGAGGGATTAGGTTTAGGGTCCTCTTATATTCCTAGTATGCCACTATTACAGGGTTGGGGGGTCCTCCCAATCCATAATTGAACAACCGTGCCCACTTGGAGCATTGTGAAATCCACCCATTCCCCAACACAGCAGCTGCACTCCCTCATGACTTTGGCATCTTCGAGGCAGCAGCCAAAGATCTTCCTCTTCAGATTCCTGCACTGCAACTATGATGATACCCAGAACTAACATGGAACCATGAAGGCCCTAAATGGAAAACATGAAAACCGAAATCGTTTGCGGCGCTTGCTGAGCATCGATTTCTGCATTAGATTGGGAGCCACGTGGATACGAATGGCTGCTTGATGTTATGCCGGTGCAGGATGCAACCCCACAAGAAATCAGGGGGTTTCTAAAAGCATGATTGTAGGGTTTAGGGTTGGGGAATTCGTGGCATCAAACAGACATCTCTGTCAGCGTTTGAGCATGATCAGGGTCTGGGATTTAAGGTTTAGGGTTTAGTTCTCTACCTGTGCAAAAACTCTGCCATCCGTTTCACCCGTGTTCCTGGAAAACATGTGGCTTTTGCGCAGTGCTCATGTGGTTCATGTATCTAAGCTCAGGCGAATTTGATCACCATACCCTGAACACCCCGAGAAAATCCTAAACACCTGTCCTCGAAAACGAGCACCCTTGCAGGCCCCAAATGAAAAGACCAAGGCGTGAACACCTCCAAACTGAAAAACAAGAAACCTGTTCGTGAAACAAACTTACAAGCCCCTAAGCCCTATACCCTTAGACTCCTAAACCCCTTAGCCCCTAAACCCCTAAACCCCTAAACCCCCAAACCCTGAAGCCCTAAACCCTTGTTGGGGTCATCTCCTGATCAAGCATATCCAGCTGCACCCACGCCGTGAAGGCGGTCACTGCCGCCCAGACCAAGCATCCAGCGGCTGGCCACCTCCAACCTCTGGGTCCCAATAAAGGGTTTGGGGTTTAGGGTTCTAGGGGTTGTATAGAAGGAATAATGGAAAAGAAAATGGGAGCTACTATTTAGGGTTTAGGGTTCAGGGTTTAGGGTTCAGGGTTTAGGGTTTAGGGTTCAGGTTTTGGGGTTTAAGATTCTAGGGGTTGTATAGGAATAATGGAAAAGGAAATGGAAGCTACTATTCAGGGTTTGGGGTTTGGGGTTTGGGGGTTTAGGGTTTAGGATTTGAGGTTTGGGGTTTAGGGCTTAAGAATTAGGATTTAAGGGGTTAGGGTTTGATGTTCAGGGTTATGGTTTGGGGTGGGGTTTAGGGGTTTAGCGTTTAGGGTTTCGGGTTTAGGGGTCTAGGGGTAGGATTTAACGCTTAGAGACCTCTGGACCCGAAGAATATGTGTATGTGTAGGGGGTTAAATAGGGATACGGTATTACCCTAATAATGGAGAATCAAACCGAAAAGAACATAAAAATGAAATGGAAAACTGGGATTAT